GGGGCCCCCCGCCGTACCGCCTGGAGATGTCAGCTTCGATCTGTGGACAGCGAGGCAGTGGGCGCGGGCAGAGGTGGGGGCCTCGTGCCCCACCGCCCGGCGACTTCCGTGCCCTCACCAGCCCCTGCAGCTCCCGGGTCTTCTCCAGCAGCAGGTCCAGCTTGGGCTCCAGCGCCGCCTGCTCCTGCAGCGCCTCCTGCTGCTTCTGCACCATCAGCTCCCTCTTCAGGGCCAGCAGCTGCGACTGCTTCAGCTTCTGCTGCAGGGATTCAGTCACGCGGTCCACGTACCTGAGAGGGCCCAGGTGACTGTCACGAAGGCCCAGGGACCCGACCCAACTGGCCTCTGTCTTAAGGCTTTTCGGGGTGAGGACAGCAATTCCAGGTACCCCGTGCTACCTAGCTTTTGTTTTTTATTTTTTTGAGACTGGGTCTCCTTATGTCCACCCAGGCTGGCCTCGAACTCAGTGACCTTCCTGCCTCAGCCTCCCCAGGGCTGAGATCTACAGGTGTGGGCCCCTATGCATGGCGACCCGTCCTCCTCGGGAAGCAGGTTCTGCCTGCTTACTTGAACCACACATCCCGCCCCAGAGAGAAGCCTCTGCTCCGGAGGAGGCGCAGTCAAAGCGGGCGGGATGCGCGAGGGGCCGAGGAGAGGAGGGACCAAGAGGGCACAGCCGGCATCAGGGGAGCCAGACCTCGGCGAGGCCAGGATCATGAACAGATGCTGCATCTGCAGGCTGGTGAGCCGGCCGATCAGCTCCCGCAGTGTGGACGCCACAGCAACCATCTTCTCCCTGGTCTGGCCCTGCAGGATGGCAGGGGCCAGCTGGAACTGGCTCACCGACAGGATGTCGGCCTCCTCGCCCATCTCCACTGCTCTCTGGGACAAGAAGATCTCGAGCTGCAGGCGGAGAAGTGGGGACGGAATTCAGGTCATTCAAATGTGAGCTGCAAGGCAGGCAGTCTGCTAGGAGCTCAACAGCCGCGACCCGAGAGCAGGGACACGGGCCACAGCCGCCATCTGCAGCCCCAGGGACACTGGCTCCTCTCTTGCCGGGTTATGGACCCAACGTCACCCCCACAAGGTCTCGGCTCAGAACCTGCTCCAGCCCACTGCTTCCTGGTGCCGAGCCCACTCAGAGCCCGGCCACCTCCGGGCCCCAGCGGCTTCCCAGTCCACTGCGCTCAGCCTGGTGGCCTCCTGTCCCCCGCCGGGGACACTGCAGGCTTCCCAGCATCCCTGCTCTCGCGCCGCCCTTCCCGCTGGGACTGGAGCGCCTGGGGTCGAGCACGGTCTCAGGTGCCCGAGGACTGGCAGGAGCCGCGTGACAGGTGAGGGACAGGGAAGACCAGACGGGCGCCCGATGCTCAGCACCCTCCACACCGCAGGAGGCCCAGGCCACACGGCACCTCCATGAGTTCGTCGACGAACTGGCTCCGCGTCTCGGGGTACTCGAGCAGGCTCAGGGCGTCTGGGCCTCGGGCCACCCCTTCTGGGGCTGCGGGGAAGGGACAGAGGTGGAGAAGCGTGTGGGCCCCATGGAAGGAGTCTGTCTTCCTTCCGCAGGCTGGAGAAGCGCTGCGCGGCTGTGGGCAGACTCGCTGCACTAAGGCGCCTCCTGGGGTCGGGATGGGGGTGGCTCAGCGAGGCCCCCTGCTGTCCCCAGCCCGCCAGGACCCACAGCTGAGCTCCGAGGGGCTTTGGGCAGCAGTGGGAGGTAAAGTGTCGTCCTGCACTGCCCTCTAGCGGACAGCCTCCCTACTGCAGGGCCTGGGCGATCCCCGGAGCTCTGGCCGCCGGGCTTCTGCGCTCACCCTGGGTCCCCGCCTCCAGCACTGTGATCTGCAGGGTGGCGGTGTCAGCGTCGCCCCAGTCTAACCCATCACCCCCAGGTTCCTGAAAGGATAGCAAGAGACCCGGTGAGGTTGGCAGAATTCCCGACCCCAGGAATTCCCGGCAGAACAGAGGCTCCTTGAGGTTCAAGGACTGCTTCCTCCCCCACAGGGGGGTCTGCAGCCCTGGGGTGACAGAAATGGCAGTGTGAACCTAGTTATTATGCCATCCCTGTCCCCACGGGTTAGGTTACTAGCTTGAGCCAAACCCCAGGCCAAAGGCGGCAGGTCTCACTATGTATATGTAGCCCAGGCTGGCCTCGAACTCACAAGGGATTCTCCTGCCTCAGCCTCCTGAGTGCTGGGATGACAGGCGTGCGCCACCACAGACATAGACAATGTTTTCTACAGCTAAAGGGAAGCCCAGAGGTCCTGAGGGGGACAAGGGAGGGGCCTAACCTTGGCCGCCGAGTCCAGGGAGATGCCCCAGTCGATGCCAGCATCCTCGGCGGGAATGCCAGGGTCGGACTCTACCCCAAAGTCGCCCCAGTCGATCTGGAAGGCAAACACAGTCGGCGCAGTCTGGTGGGGACGCAGAGGTAAGGCCCCACCACACAGGCCAGGGCTGCGTCTGCAGGGAGCGTGGGGTCGGGACAAAGCTCCAAGCTCCCGGAAGGAGGCCGACCTCGGGGACTCCTGTGACCCAAGGGTTCCTGGAACAGATCCTGCCCTCACTCGGCTCTGCTCTCAGGAAGACCAGGAACCGGGCAGCAGCACCCTCAGCTGCCCTCTCTCCCGACTGGGGTGGCCGAGGACGGGAAGCCGCCGGCCTGGGCCTGGAGCCCCTTACCACATCCTCCTCCACCGGCTCGGGAGGCTCCTCCAGGCGCGGCCGCTCCACCACGGAGGGCTCCGTGCCCGTCCTCCACTCGTACACCGTCGAGTTCCCCCGCCGCTGCACGAACCGCAGCATGGGCAGCACCTGCTCCGCTGGGCTACAGAAGGCACAGCACTGACGCCGGGGGCCGAGGCTTCCAGGCCCGGCAGGGTCAGCACAGCCACAAGAAACGGGGAGACACAAGTGGTGGCCAGAGGCGATGGCGCGCACCTCATCCCAGCACTGGGGAGGCTGAGGCAGGAGGATCAAGGCCAGCCTTCTTGGGCCACACAGTGAGACCCTGGCTCACAACGACGGAAAACACAAGCGGACAGGGGAGGGAAGCCCGGAAGAAAGGAAACCAGCAGCCTGCTGGGCCCCACCTCTCACAAACGAAGTCCACACAGGCCTGGTACAGCTCGATGGCTTCGCCCAGGGACTGCGCCCCTGCCCCGATCTCAGCCAGCTGGCTCGGCAGGTCTTTGACCAGGGTCAGCAGCTCTCTCCGGACGTTGTCTCCCTACAAGGGGGGCGGGAGGGGAACCGGGAGGGATGGGGTGGAAGGCAGAGCCCACAGGCGAGGGCAGACATCTAAAGGGCAGCAAAAGGCGAGGCCCAGCACAGGGCGGGAAGAGGATGGCAAAGGATGCTCGGCTGCGGCGGAGTCGCGGCCGGAGGTCAC